AGGTATCTGTTTTCCACGAGTAGGAAAGCAGCCAGAACGAGCTTCGACAAGACATTTTTCACTCAATGCACTTTGAAGAAGTACACAAGACCCTTTCCCAGGTAATCAATGCATACTGTAGCGCGTCTTTAAAGCTTTAAAGACAGAAAAAGCTCAATCGATATCTTTCAGATGAATAAACATCCAGCTTTACTTATTTGTTTGCGAAGAGCAGAAAGAACTCCATCTTGAAACTTCGAAATCTGACCCCGAAACTAAAAAGGCACCGGCGCCCTTTTCGCGCAATATCGAGATAAAAGTTGAAGGTCTTGTAAAAGTCTAAGTGCTGTCCATTTGTTGAGCATCCCAGCTAGTGCAATTACCAATGCAGATGCGTGTATGTGTGTTCTGCAGCCCTGATTTGGTGGGATAACATGGTTGGAAATAATGAGGTCTTGTTTACTGGAGAAAGTCTTTGATTCCTGCAAAAGTTGCCCTCTCTTCAAGTTTACATGCTGGAAGCTGAAGGTGAAATAGTGTAGATGGAGTTATAAAACATTGCAGGTAATAAGTTAGCATCATTCCCAGGCTGAAGGAAGAAAAGACAGAGAGCCATGGGATTCATCTGATTTAACAAAGACCGATTTGTTGTGTTACGCTGGTGAAAGATTAATGTGCTGCCGAGTTAGACGAGTATACGCCGAGACGTTTTTGATTGAATTTAGTGTGATCCACTACTTGTGCGTCGCTGCATGCCCACTCAGATCACACAAACAAATCACCCTTTCTGCTGTCTACCGTCAAAAAAAATCTTAAACACATAAACTCACCCGGGGGAACGGAGCACAAAGCGTTCCGCTCGCTGCCGAGAAAGGGCCATCAATATTTCACGGCCTTAGCCCAGCCCTTAGGTGAGCACGCCAGCCCGGCAGACTGTGTGCTAATTGAAAAGGAAAGGGCTACACTGATTGTGTGAGGCCATTCCTTTGAAGTGGGCCTCCTCCTTTTTAAATGTTTAACTAGCGCCTGTCTGGGCCCTTCCGCCTCCGAAGTCGCCACCGCCTCTCAATGAGAGCAGAAACACCTAGCCGGCTACTTGGAGAGATCTCCGCTTTGTGCCATCAGCAAGGATAAAACAACTTAATTCTCTGCTTTTTTCTATTCAGAAAGGCATGCGAGAGCCTTGTAATGAACTAAATAATTCATAATTCATGTTGTTGGAGCATGCCATCTATGGGGACAGATTAAGTCAATGATATGTGGGCAATGGGTGATTGTGAGCTGGGGGGAAGGGCTGGGGAAGCAGCTGTGCAGAGCCGTACAGCACCTCTGGGTAAAATACACGGAATTAGCACAAAGAATGAGAGAATAAATCAAAGACAGTGAAGTACAGTATGTAGAGGTGGAGGAGGTCAGAGATCGGGGAATTACTGCCTCCTGAGTGTTCACTGTAAATGTGTGAGAAACTGAGAAAACTAAATATCTTTAATGCGGATATTAAAGGAGGGGTAGGCAGGATCTGAGGAAGTGCCAGTTTTTGGGAGGAATCTTGAATGTAAACACGACCCCTCCCAACTCAGCTCCTCCTCTCCCCTTCGTCTCTGCTCCAGAAAGCCCCGCCCAATTCAATTTCAATTAAATTCAGATATAATGCAGATAAACACTTAAAATAATTACAAATGGGGCCCAGTCAACGTGAAAGTAAACAGCATTGGTGCTACTGTAGATGCCAACAAACTACCAGCAAACACAATGTTTGCAGGACTTCTACAACTAGGATAAAGTGACATAGTCCGGGACCCGAGGTCCACAGATTAGCAGCACTACAAGAAACACTTCTGTTACAGACACTTGGCTTATTTTGTTAAAGCGGTTTACCTTTCTCAGCAGAAAGGTTACAGGGTCCGTAAGATCCCGAAGCGACCCCCATTATTGTTGACAATGATGTCAACAATGACCACTCTTGTGCGGTCTACATCCGTTTTAAGTGCCTGTTATTCCACCAGAGTCTCAGGTATTTACTTTGTTTTCTTGATTGTTTTGGCAGTCGTGGCCAAAGGAGGATTCAGACAATTTTTCGTACTTTCTGGTTGGTTTTTACTGTCCGATATTGTAGCACGCTAACTTTGATTGGGCTCGTGGACGACACAGGAGAGCAGCATCCACCTCACAACCAATCAGGTTGGGGAGGCGGGGAGTCAATTCAAAATGTTGACTACACAGACATAACAAAACACAGCGATATCGTTATATTCACAAATGTCATCAATAACTAATAGCTATTGACTGATATTAAAAGCTTTTTTGTATATACACCGCAAAAAAAGATGCTTCTTTGTCGGAATCCTGCCTACCCCACCTTTAAGAGGTAGAATTAAGCAATCAGAAATGCGTATGGAAGAAGCTATTCCTAAGAGGGGCCCCTTCTAGTGGGTTCTGTATCTATATTTGTTGTTATTTTGCATTCATACTTCTTACTAGCTTTAGCCTACCAGCGACGCTACCAAGCTAGCTGTGGAAAGAAAGAAACACAAACACTTCGATTTGAAGTCTCAGAAATAAAATATGGCCATAGTTGGCATTGATTCTTGCTCATCCAACTTTACTACCACCTTAACTGTTAACAGTTATTCATATTGAGTTAGACTTTCAGGGGGATATCAGAGTTTTGGTACAACTGCTCTCAAGTCAATGCAATCAAATTCAGTGCTTTAGAGGTTATAGCTAACACATGGATGTGCATTAATTGGTGGTATTATCAGATTTACTGAGTCTCTGGGTTGAATTAAATCGGCTGTTTTATGTTCCGCTACTTACGCCGACTTCTTCATGTGCTCATAAAACACAAAAACACACACGAAGAGGTGAATTAAACGGTGACTGCTCGCTCAGGCTGGGCGCTACCTCATCTTTATTCCTGCGTACGAAGCTGCATGGAGATTTGACAGAATGCCAGCTAGGCTACACCCCCCAGTATCGAATGTTAAACTGGTTGTAGCCGTCCTATTATTTTACTCCTTCTTTCAGTTTTCATTTCTCTTTCCGGCCTCACAGAGATGTGTCTCGATAAGGACAGGGGGAAGGGAAGGGAAGGAGGCAGCGTTTGTTGCGAGGGGAGTTGAGGAGTTGAGCTTTGGAACATTTAGTGCTGATAAAGAAGAAGCAAGTTGAGTGAAGTGAAGTATCTGGGAAGAGGAGAAACAGGCAGGTAAGTGGGGGAGGGGGTGCGCATCGCCTTTTTTTTCCCTTCCCCCAGCATAGGTAGCTGGCTGAGTTGCCAGAACCGTAGAGAGTGTAGTCTTTAGAGGCTCTTTTTGAAGTTGAGCCTGAGGATTACCACGGTTGCTTCCTCAGCAGTGGCAAACCTGTGTCTGATTCCTGAGACGGGGGTGGGGGTGGGGGGAGGCAGCAGAGAGAGGAGGCAGGGTGCTGATAGAAGAGGAGAGGAGTAAAGTTAAAGCCCTGGGGAAACGGCGAACACATGCAGCTGAAAGGAAACCAGTGTGGGATGACAAAAGCGGGATAGAGATACAGGGGAGAAAGAGGGTGGAAATGTGCAAGTGCACGTGCGAATCATGCTGACGAATGGTCCTGAGGTTCCTCTGAAGCAAAGATTCATGAGTCACTCATTAGTCACAAGCTTGTTCATTATTTAACACCATTCCCCAGAGACTCCAGGTGAGCAAGTTCCTATACAGGGCTCCTTTGTACACGTCATGACCTTTTTACATGTGTAATCAGTTACTCGGGGGGAAACAAGATGGTACCGAGCAATCTCTGCATCTTTAAGACCCCATTAATGCCAGTTATGACCAATATTAACAGATATCTGCACATGACTGGAGAGTATACAGACGCATGATAGTGTTCTTGTTTCTGTTTTTAGCCGGGGTGGTTTTGATCTACCAAGCTCGGGCTGGCGTTGGTTGCGTGGAAAGAGAAAAGGCAGAAAGCACAGGCCAAAATGAAGACTTGGAACCAAATGGTTATTGCTGAACAATGACTTAGCTTGTTAGAAGTGGACCTGCATTCAAAAACAAGTATTTTGTGTGATAAGCCTTGGAGTCCTACGTTTCCAGTCCAACTGTTAACCCTGTTGATTGGACTGAAGAGGTTGTGTAGCCCAGATATCAACATCTAAGTCATTGTTGGTTTTACCAAAAGTCCTAGAAGCCAAACCTTGGGCAGAAATTAGTTAAGAAGTTCAATGATTGCAAACAAAGTTGACATGAAGATATTCTAGGGATTCATGTATTTTTTTATTCCCAGTCAAATCTCAGAACAGATCATTTCTCGAACTGCAGAATTGGTAGACAGGGATGGCCGTACCTCACACAAAGTATGTTACGCTAGCAACAAGTGAATTTGTACCTAACAGGGGTCTATTGATGGAATAGAGAGGACCACAGTGAAAGACAGATACTCAATGTGAACAAATAATAAGTCTGCCTATCCAGTCAGCCTATCTTCTGAAAAAGGGAGTTTTCTTTATGAGAATGAGAACAAAAGTGTCCTTTAACGGGTGGGGACTGGTGTCATGGATGTCACAGAAATGTGAGACCTCTAGTTAGCTTTTTGTAGGTACGCAATATGATATACATTAATAGAGAAAAACAGTGTCAACTTCAGCTATTAAAGGTGTGTCTAAGACAAAAACTAGGCACATAATTTTATTTTGAGTCTGTTAGTTTTCAGAACAAAAAAACCCACAATCTTAGCTAGCTATGTATTAGAAAATACTTTTTTAGTTTTTGTGATTTTGTTAGTTTTCGAGATTTTATAAGTTTTCCTGATTTCATTGGTTTTCATAACATCATTAGTTTTTGTGATTTTGTGATTTCGTTAGTTGTCAAGAGTTAGTAAGTTTTCTTGATTTTGTTAGTTTTCAGGATTTTGTCAGTTTTTGTTATTTTGTTAGTTGTCAGGAATTTAGTAGTTTTTGCGATTTCATTCTGGTTCATAATTTATTCGCAATTTTGTTAGTTTTCGTGATTTTGTGAGTTTTTCGGAATTTGTCAATTTTTGCGATTTCGTTTGTTTATTAATTTATTCGTTTTCAAGAGTTTGTCAGTTTTTTCATGATTTTGTTAGTTTTCAAGATTTTGTAAGTTTTCCTGATTTCATTGGTTTTCATAACTTAATGAGTTTTTGTGATTCTGTTAGTTTTCAGGAGTTCGGTAGTTTTTGCGATTTCATTACTGTTTATATATGAGTTTTAAAGAGTTTGTAAGTGTTTTTGTGATTTTGTTAGCTTTCAGGATTTTGTTAGTTTTTGTGAATAAGAATGACCCTTTGTCTTACTGCACTGTAATGTATTGTTCTCTGCCACCCTCTATTCTACAGTATTGTGCATTACTCTACTTTATACTCCCAGAGTTAAAATACATGGGATTAGGATGTTATGGTGTCTTGTACGGTGATACAAAATCAGGTCACCTAAGGGATGATGCAAATTAATACGACGGAAACTAAATATCAATGATTTTTTAGCCACAGAGGGCGCTATCTCCCTATGACTGCTGTTTGACATCATTTTACTTTCAGCAAAATATGTTTGACGATCAGATTGCCAGAAAATCATAAAGATAGTTTGCAATAAAATGCATAGATACCTAACTTAGGGTCAAATAGCATCATTATTATGGAGTGTAGCACTTGGGAGTAATTGCACTCATTGTTAAAAGAACTTCTGGGTGAATCGCGGTCTGTTCTCCTCCACCTCTTAAATGTTTTTCTTCAGGGTATCGAAACACAGATGCTAACGCCAGGTGCAAACGGAGGTTTAGTCAAGCTCTATGCAAGGCAGAGGTGAAATCAAGTTGGTTGGCAATTCAACTTTAAATCCATCAGCGTTGGTGCACTGGCGCAGGTGGATAAGGTGCTGAAAGGAGATAGAGATAAAAAGAAAGTTTCTGTCTGACGCTGAGACTGAGAAAGAGATGGGGGAGTGAAAAGAGCAATAGATTCAAATAAATCGTGCGAGATTTGCTACTGCACAGGCATGCCATGAACAAAGAATAATCGGCTGAATGAGGCCATGTGTGCCCAGGTGTCGCGCGTCCACAGGGAAAAGGAGGGAGGGCGGAGAATGAAACAGCCGAAACAGAGCTAAGGTGGCTCTAAAGTGAAAGAGACCTCAGAGTTCTTGAATATTGCATTTCCCTGATAACATCAGTCGGCGTTATTAGTTGACGTCTGTTAATATCTGTCCTGTCGTCTTGATTTACATTCCTCGCCGCATTGGCAGCACGGCGGTGGAGTTAATGAATTCAACTGTGAATGAAAGAGTGAGAGGCAGGGAAAGAAAAAAAGGGAAAGAGAGTCACCCTGTGAAGAAGAGCACACCGCATACTGAAGCAACTCCTCCAACCGCTGACTTGGAAATGAGTCACAGTACTCTGCTCGACTAATAAAATCTACAGCGAGTGTTATACTGTTTCTCCTTGTTTAACACCAAGCCAGAATGTGTTAGGTCATAACAATGAGGTGGTGAAGATGTTTTAAATATACTTCCTGAGTGGTCTTCACTGGGTTCACTTCAAAAATGCGCCACCAGAGGGGGGTAATGATACATTGAAAGAGGCAGAGGCTGCTCAACAGCTGCCACATGAGAAGAAGACCTCATAAAGAAGCATTTTAAGAATTAGGCAAAAAATAAACAAGGAGTCTTTATGTTCTTCCAGCTTTGCACTCGTGACTTTTAAGGTTGCATTAAGCTGTGTTTATTAGACGTGTTTGTTTTGCTGGTGTTAGCTGCTCCTTTGACTTTGAGCACCAACAAAAGGGTTTATTAGTCATTAAGCCAGCGAGATATCAAGAGGAGGAGTAGTTTTTCTCCCCCCCCCTCAACTTTAAGCTGTTCACAGACGAGGTGGAGTCGGGATAATCCGGCGAAAAACACGCCTCACACGGGGGGCTAAACTGAGCCCTCATGCTGACTTTCAGCGCGCGAGGATGTTTGTGTGGAAAAAAAAAAAAGGTGTGTGCACGGAGAGGGGGCTTCGACTGTATTTGCAGAGCAACTGGAGTGCATAACACAGACAACACGGGAGACAGCTTCAAGCAAAGCGGTGCTGACATGCAGGATTATGTGCTGCTCAAGCTCAAGCTGCATACATAAACAAATCAACAGAATTCGGGATTCTTTACAAAACATCAATTTGATGCTGCAGACATATTTTACTGATTTTGAATACATGTGGATGGGTTTGGGGTTATATTTAACTTTTCAGCTTCTTGATGTCGAAGGCTCGTCCATGTCTACAGCTTTCCTACCTACCCCTTTTTATAGTTTAATTTCTGTTTAAAGTGCATTTGATCGTGTTGGAGAAAAGACTTAATAATTATTTCTGTTAATTTAATTGAATTTTTATTCATTTTTTAAATTTCTCTTAGGGAACCTTCCAAAAAAGGATCGCTAAGGTTATATCTAACAGAATCTAGAGGCCTTTCTGCACGAAGGTGCTCGTGTCAACATGCAGCCGAGGTGTGTCCTTGTTCAACCTCTCATGGCCCCAGTAAGTTTTAGTAACATTAAACCCCTTCTTTTCACACTCTGGTTTGTGGTGTTATAGGCTTACAACACAAAACTTACAGAAAAGCCTGGCAGCACTTCACATTTTTCTTAATGTCAACAGAAATCCACTGGCTCTTTGACGTATCCTAAACCAGTGGTTCTCAAGTCCAGTCCTCGAGGCCCCCACTGTCCTGCATGTTTTGGATGTTTCCCTGCTCCAACACACCTGATTCAAATGATCAGCTCGTTATCAAGCCGTTACAGAGCTTGATAACGAGCTGATCATTTGAATCAGGTGTGTGACTTTAGAACCACTGACCTAAACGCAGTGAATGAGTCTTTTACAAAATGGAGGTTGGAATCTTTATTTTGGAGAACAGCTGGGAACTGTGCTCTTGACAGCAATAGTTGGCTCCTGAATTTATGTTTCTGATAATTTCATAGGGATTCTTGATGCTGAATTTAAAAAAACTGTGTCCAGGCTCATGAGCTGGGTTGTGTCCAGACCATAGACTGTATATACTATGGACAACTTGGTTCCACCTTCTGCCAGAATACAAATTTTGAAGCTGAAAAGCTCTTGGTAATTCCGCGTTTTCTCTCCATTTCCTGAAACCAACATTGCGCAGTCCCCGAGAGTCACTGTGATGATGCTCAGCTCGAATGGCGTATCCTCCAGGTGAGCTACGCTATCTTCTTACGCCCATAGACTGTATCAATCATAGAAAACTTGCACCCCCTAATAACTTAGAAAAACAGAGCTGTACAGAAACAAGAGGACTTGAGCACAAACCAGTCTTACAATAACGACATGTCAACATCGCAAGCAAAGGGGAGAAAAATGTACGTTTTGTGTAATAAATTGCTAAAGTTTGTCCACAGCTCCATAGGGATTGCTGGAGGAGGCGGGATTTATGACCTATACTGCAGCCCGTCACCAGAGGGTGCTGTTCTCGGGGTGGCTTCACCCAGCGAGGAGGCAGACGCATCCATTCTATATACAGTCTATGGTCCAGACTGCCTCGTTGGCTCATCTCTAACCCTGACCTATGCAGAGGGGGGAGGTCTGAGGATAAAGTACTCAGGTATACACACAAATCAACATCCATTCACCGTCTTCATGTGCGATTGTTGCCGTGTAAATGTTTTCATAGAGCACGCCGTGACAACAAACAGCAGTTAAGATGCAACGTGACACAGCACCCAGCTGATTCATTAAGCGGCACAAAGGATATACATGTTATTATGAAAATGACAATAACAAGTGCAATCATGGTTAATTGTTCCACTCCGGTGTTTATACGTGTGCCGGGTTGAAGGGGGGAAAAGACACTCACCTATCATGTGAAAATACTTCTAATTCACCGCTATAACGCACGGTGCTGACTCACAAACGCACACACTCACCCTCCTGCTGCAACGCTTCACAAACCTCCATCCCTGCCTCGTGAAATCTCCTCCGCTGTGCAGTAAATTAGGCCTGTGATGTATGTTGCAAAGGTGAAATATACATAGTTGATGGCTGCGCGATTAGCAGACCAGGTGCGTTTTACATGGCGGAGATAATAGCGGCGAGTTAAATAGCATTAGCATGAAATACATTTCGATCATGTAGGAGTGTTGTTTTTATTCCTCCTGTACTGGGCGGCGGGGGATGGGCTGCAGCTGTGGGATACAAGGTAATTAACTTATCTAACAGAGACATGTTCTTGAGGCTCCCCTAGCACAGAAAACTGGCTTAGACTTTTCTTTTACGCCCCATATAGGCAAGTAGAGGGCTTTGAAATAACACCACTGTAATGGGGACATTAAAAAGTGTGTATGACTAAAATAGAGCTTCATTAGCTAGCACTAGCTGGATCTCTGCATGGATATATAAGGAAAAGAAGGTGGGAAGCTGCTTTAAAATACAACAATATTAATATTCTGTATATTTGTGAGGTAATGAAACCCTTATGTGTTTTATTTGACTGATAAAGAAGTGAGGAGAGGTAAATATAGACATAAATAGCACCGCCAGCAATAGCATTTAGTGGCTGCAGTTCTGCATCACATTCACATCGGTGCACTTCACAACTACCGTGGGAGGTTGTAAACAGTGAACTAGGTCCACAGAGGGTGTTAGAGTGTGGGGGGGTTTCCTGAGTATGATGAATGTATTGGCAAAGCTGACTCCATGTTACTCTTGTTCTCCTCCTCAGTCATTCGTAACATCAAGCGTCCCCGGTGTTCCCTGTGACTTTGCGGTGGCGGATGTAGGTGTTCGCCATCGGCAAGTTTGGCCACTGAAGGAATTCCCAGCAGAAAGGCCAGGTGGAGGAAACTCATGGTCCCCCCCCAAAGGTCTGTGTCCTCACTGGCTTTGATGCCTCTTAATAAGAAATAGAACAAAAAACTCTCCCTATATCTGAGTCAAACATATTCAGGTTGTTTTGACCCTCATCCCAGAGACACCAGATCAAATCTCACGGGTTTGTGACCTACACGAGATTTTCTTTAATGCAAGTGTTTAATGTCTTTGCTCTCTGTCTGACTTTGTTTCAGAGTCAGGTGTTGAAACACTGCCAAGCTACATTGAGTTAGCTAGCTAGTTGCTAGTTTACACCAGAGGTACCAGTTTATTAAATGAGAGCTTAAAGGGATATTCCAGCGTAAAGTTAATTTAGGGTCAAACACACCATAACACCGAGTTAGACACCCCCTTGGGAGATGAATGTTGGCAACCGCTTGCTTCTCTAGTTAAACCAACTTTAGTAACGACTGCAGGATAGCAATACACAGCAGTCTGAGGAGCCATAAACAAACCTCAACCAAAACGCCACTCTATAGCCACAAATGATGCTCAGAACAGCACCTAACTTCATCAACAGTACATATAGGGACCTAGCCATAGAACTAGCCACCAAACATGTTTTTAACTTTGCCTAATTTCTTTAGCAAAGAGACTAAACACAACTCACCTACTCTCTTCCAGCAGCTGCTTGTTTGAAGCGAGACCTGAGGCCAGTCCATTACGGACTACTGAGGGGTGCCGCAGCTCAAGGAAGAACATTTATGGTCATTTCTTCATGGAAATGCAATCAGACCAAGACGCTAAGGCAGAAGAACTACCGCGTCTGCAGTGCAAAATGATTATTATGGTGATAATATGACCCTATATGTACTGTTGATGAAGTTAGGTACTGTTCTGAGCATCATTTGTGGCTATAGAGTGGCGTTTTGGTTGAGGTTTGTTTATGGCTCCTCAGACCGCTGTGTATTGCTATCGTGCGGTCGTTACTAACTACTAAATAACTTTTGTTAGATGTTGTATCTGAGCTGTAGCACCTTAGCTGTAAATACCACTGTAGATAGGGGCCACATGTACTAGCCTAGCTTAGCACTAAAGCTAAACACAAAGAAACTGCCACCTAATGGTGTCCACGTGTAATTGAATAAGGGTCAGGTACTTGGGCAGACATATAGCTTTGTTAGCTGTTTGGGACCTTATCAACTAAACTAATTATTTAATCTGCAGAGTAACCTACCATAATTTTTAAAAGTCAGTGCCCTGCTGTCATAAAAACCTCAAATTCGTCATTTATTGTAGTTTATCAGTCAAAGTGTAGCGAACAATGTTTTTTCATAGCATCGTGTGAGTCGCATATTTCATGCTGCTGTCTTTGAAAACCCTTCTGTCTGAGACGCTTTATTCAAGCCACTGTCCCTTTAAGGATCCCCAGCTTTCTAGAAGCCTCCTTCACTGTTGCCATGACAAATTTGCCCTTTTAAGGAGATTCTCATTTGACTTTTTGAGCTAGCCATTCAGAGCCCCCTGTAGGCTCATGTCGGGATTACTTCAACACACTTTAACCTTAATATCTGAAACTTTGCTCACGTGTAGTCCTGACGTCCAACATTTCAACTTCATGTCTGTTTTACAAATATTAAAAAAGCTTATTACCACCTCTTTAAACTCCCCTGTCTTGGCACTGATGTATTAGTACTTGTAAAAGAAAGAGGAAACTTTCCTCCGGCACTGTAAATACTTCTGGCACAAATGCATTTTCAGAGGGCTCAGGGTGCCCAGTGAGTGATTCGTCTTGCTGAACAGTTAACACAGTTACACATGGGGTGATTTCAAAGAGTGAAAGATCACAAAGAGCTCAGGTTACACCGCAGCGCTGAGGGCACCCAGCTGCCGTTTTGTGAGATGTTTTGTTGTCCCAATTCTCTCATTTGTGTCTCTTTCCGGTGATGGAGTCGCAGGCCTGAAGCTCCTTAAGGCTAAGGAAAGGTCTGGCGTTAAGATTGAGGAGGCTCATTTTCTTAATTGTAATTAACTGTCACTGTTTTTTTTTTTCTTTCTTACTCTTTGGGAAAAATTTACAGCCAGAAAAGCATCTTAACTCTTTTACGACCCCTTGCCAGGTGTGGCTGTTGTGGGCCCAAGGTAACAAGGGTCTATTCCGTGCTGCTTCCGAATAAATAAAAAGGTAAGACAGGGTCGAGAGCCGCAGCTGTGCTGTAGAGTACGTGCTTACCTGTCCCCAGCTGTCATCTATAATCAGACTCCGCTGTGCTGTTATAATGGACCTGATGTACCAGTGCTCTTCCAGTTCCTGGCAGCTTGTCTCATGTTACAGACAGGCAGCGTAGGAGGCGGATGGACACCCATGCTGCTTTGCAATCTGAGCAGGATTTCCATCTGACCGCACAGGTTAACCCCGGATTACTCGACATCTTCTTGGTCATGTTCAGATTCTCAAGACACGCAGCACAAGCAGACCACTGTTGCCTTGCTTTTGAGGAGTAGTGAGGCAGAATAATCCATAGCGATGCAGTAAAGGAAGGACAAAGTGGCGTATGGAATTGGTTTGCGGGAGCTTCAGTCTGGAAGGATTATTATAAATACACCATCAAATATATAACTGTACCGGGAATTTATTTTATGGAGTTGGCGAAACATTTAAAAAATCCATCATATGGTTGTAAAAAATGATATTGTGTGGAATCTAGCTCAGCAGAGGTGTTAAAACGGAGCATTTATTTTCTGAAAATGTGGGTATTAATTTGAATGCCAATGCAGACTGGATCCAATGGGCGCAGTTATAACTGGCACATCCGGACCTGTGTGATGTGGATGCTCACAGACGCAGAGAATGTGTTACTGTGAGAGCTGGCAACGCACTCAGGCTGGTTGATGCTGTTTGTCTGCTTAAAGCTACAATTACAGCTAGGTGTTGCTCTGTTTTCTAGCTTATTTAACATAACACGCATCTGCCAATTCACCGTTCATTTGGAATAACCTAATACGGCGCTCGGAGAACAGAGCCTTGTCCCACTTAAATGTCATTGTTTTTCCCATTTTGGAGTGAATAGCCTGTTTTTTACCCGCACAAATGGCAGTGAATTCATTAGTAAAACAGTATGTTTGTTCCTCTTTTTCACCCCGGATTGCTTCTGCAACCTTTCTCTCACGTCTTACCAGCTAATTAACACAGTCACACTTTGTCAGTCGCTCAACCCAATGAGCCTTAGCAGTCCGTATTTGGAAATCATCCCACATGTGACATTGGATACACAAGCTGTTCACAATTAGACTTTTTACCAGGAGCGAAAATTGAAGGCTTAGAGTTGACTTCCTTCCTTGGTTTGCAAATTAGAATACAAAAAGTGATATCATTTAGCAGAAAACAAAAACAAGGCCTTTTAATCGTAGACATAATATACGTAGATGCTTCATTACGTGCTGGAGCGTAATCAGGCGTCGCCGCCATATTGGATGGGTCTCCTCACTCTAGACTTGCACTATAGTCGAATGGAGTCGGCAGAAAACAAGCAACTATGCCTGTACTTTGTGCATTAGAATTACATTTCACAAGTTATCTTAAAAAATCATTTTGTTTATTGTTAACGTGCGACGACGTCATGTATCATCGCTTCATCTCTGCTGCTTGTTACAAACCAAACTATGTGAAAATCGGGTAAAATTTGGGGAGTTATTGTTAATATAGTCTGGCATTCCTACTTTTTTTTCAATGGAAATAAATGCACTGGGGACCCATCCAAGATGGCGGCCACACTGATACGTAAGCTTTATTATGCAGTGTCAGTCTGTGGCGTCTATGTATATTATGTCTATGCCTTTAACAGTGAACTAATTCTGTTCCAAATAAACAACTAAATGTCACTATTTCATGGCGTACAATAACACCTATAGCAGAGCCCGTGTTGGGGGGTCTCAGCTTCACTGTAAAAACAATTAATACGAAGGCTTCAATCTAACTTTCTTGATTAGCACGAGCTAGCAATGGGTAAAGATCGCTAATAATGCATCTTAAAAATTGACAAATAAAATCTTTGTTGGATGGAAGTCGAGTACTGATTCGACTTTGAGAGTTCTTCCATCACTTTTAAAAACAAAAGCGCTAACTTGACTGAATGCGACTGAATTTCCTGTAAATGCAGAATCCTGCTGGTACCTGACTCGCCAATACTACTCACAGGAACCATAATTAAGGTCTCGAACTGGTAAACCTCACATCTCAACAAAACAGTACCAACAATTTTTAACATCTTTTCAAATTGAAGCCAACATTTTTTATTTGTTTCAAATATGGGTCATGTTCATGCGAAGGTAATGCAGACAAAATCGCTCACAGTCATAGACATGTATGAGTAGACGCTTCTGCTCTCAGGCCAGGTTCTCCACTCTGGGCTGTCAGCTCTAAGGATTAGTCATCTCTCTGTGATTTTTGTGTTCCCCGTGTGTTATCTCTGGTGCTTGTTTTTCTTTCTAGATTTTCAAATCATTAAAATAGTGTCTTCTTGCCTTTTTGCCCATTCCTGCGGCCTCTCCTCTGGGCTTTTATCATCCGCTGTGGCTGCCAAATTACATACCACCTGAAGTGGAAAGCAGAATCCAATTTTTGGCTGTCTTTCTTGGGCGATATGTAAAAACGGTTAAAACTTGGTAGCGACCCAACACTCTGTTGCATCGGCTGTTTAAGATTTGCAGAAGTGAAAGCGCATTATCTGTCTAAACAGTTTTCTTTTCAACCCCAGAGGTAGTCTTTAAGTTTCAACATGAAGGAGCTATAGTTCGTATCAGTCAGCTCATTTGGGTGATTGGTTCATCTTTCTTAAGCTGCGATCTGCTTTTGGCCGATCGTCATACACCATCCCTCAAACCTACCTCTGTAAGACACTGCTTAATGAAGTTTTAAGGGCGTACTTAAAGAAATGCTTCAAGTATTTCTGTAAAAGTATGGGAGTCACCCATAAAAAAGGAGGTACAGTACAAAACATATACTTGCTTTAGGCTATAATAAGCCTTTAAAGGGATATTCCGGCGTAAAGTTAATTTAGGGTCAAACACAGGACTGCTTGCTGCTGTAGTTATACCAACTTTAGTAACGACCGCACGTTAGCGATACACAGCGGTCTGAGGAGCCATAAACAAAAACTCAACCAAAACACCACTCTATAACTACAAATAATGCTCAGAACAGCACCTAACTTCATCAACAGTACATATGGGGTCCTAGCCATAGTACGAGCCACCAAACATCTTTTTAACTTTGTCTAATCTTTTTAGTAAAGAGACTAAACACAACTCACCTCCTCCCTTCCAGCAGCCGCTTGTTTGTAGCGAGACCTCAGACCAGTCCATTGTGGACTGCTGCGGGGTGACGCAGCTCAAGGAAGAACATTTATGATCATTTATGCTCCGTAATGGACAGGCCTGAGGTCTCACTACAAACTAGCAGCTGCTGGAAGAGAGTGGGTGAGTTGTGTTTAGTCTCTTTACTAAAGAAATTAGGCAAAGTTTAAAAAGATGTTTCGTGG